GATATCCTGGTATCTTAGGCGTAGTGGAACCACACCAATCCATCCCGAACTTGGTGGTGAAACTCTACCGCGGTGACAATACTGTAGAGGAAGCTCTATGGGAAAATACCAAAAATAAATAAAGATATAAAAAATATTACAACTGTATATACAAACAATTTTAAAGTTAACATATTTACGTCTCCAAGATTAACATTTTGTTTTTTTTTTTGTCTATTTTTTCAAGACATACATATAAAAAACAAGAATCAAAAGCCCTATATTTCCCCCCCCCGTCCACATTGTGTGGAACTGGCTGACCAAATGCGACTGATAGGTGCCCCCTCCATGCCCTTCCCCCATGTTGTTTCCCCACAACCTCTCTCTCTCTCTCTCTCTCTCTCTCTCTCTCTCTCTCTCTCTCTCTCTCTCTCTCTCTCTCTCTCTCTCTCTCTCTCTCAACACACACACATGCTGTGCGGTGCGGGTGTTGATGCACTTTGCTTTGGACCATGGGCGTGGCTGGACCATTGCCTGGTTCCCCACTGGACCATTTTTGGTCAGCTGGACCAGCCTACCTTACGTGGTCTGTTCCGGGCCCGAACGAAATTGTGCTGTTGAAACTCAGGCCAGATAAACTTAACAGCCTGAGCCTTTGTTGCTTCCAAAACTTGAGCCCAAACAGATTTGCAGACAAGAGTTTTTTTTTTTCACTTAGAAACTTCTCGCCCCCATGGAGCCACAGTTTTCCCTTCTTTTCTTGACGGATTGGCTCCTAAGGTTATTATATGATAATTTATATCCATCATCCATGTGATTTCATCAGCATTTCAGCTCATAGACTGTTTATTAACAGTTACATGTGTGTGCAATTCAACCACATGAGCCAGGTATTCGAGTTCTTCTTTGCATGCAAGCCATGTTCCGTGGTACAGTTCATTTCAGTGGAAAGGCCTCCGACTTTCCAGTCATAAAGAATCTCTTGATGGTTTAGACGTCCCAATGTTTTGGCACTGCACTTATGCCCTCCATCACACAATCTTCTCACAAATAACGAGCAGTGCTTGCACCCAGCGCCCAGATAGGGAGAGCGTGCACGGGGAAGACTTGATATTGCAATCAAAACAAAAACTCAGAGAATGCAAGTCGAACGTTGTTTTCTCAGTTGAAAACAATCATAACAGCAGGATCCAGAGCAGATGCTGTCGTACGATCCTGTCCTGGAAGCATGATACTCCCAGTGGACGCTTTTCGTTCTTGGGCTTCATTTCACTTCTCCCCCCCCCCTATCTCTCTCTCTCTCTCGCGCGCGCGCGTGCGCGCTCTGATGCAAAACTCAAATGGGAGAAAATGTAAGACTTCCTGAACTCTAAAGAGAAGAGGAGAGAGATAAAGAGTCGAAAAGAATGAAGAGGATAGAAGAAGAAGAATTGCAACCAATGTCTTCCCCCTCGCTTCTTCTCCCTCTCATCTTTTTCTCCCTTCCTCCTCCTCTTCGAATAACAAATGAATGAATGAACAGGAATCACGTCCAAGTAATCCCCCTTACTTCCAGCACTCCAACAGCCCTCCTTTCATCCTCACTCTGCTTCTCTCAATTGCATCTCTAACTATAGGTGGTTCATCCATGCTCGTCAAGAATGTTCGAAGGACAATGCAACTGTTACTATGCCTGTCCCATCTCATCCTGCAATAGCCACACTCTCAAATGAAGTGCAAGACCAGCCGGTACCCACATAGGGGGCTTCTAGATCCAGCGCCAACCATTGCTGTCATGGCCTCGGTTTCTCAAACCTTTATACTTCTATGTACATTTCCATATGGGACGCTGGGCCCGGTTCCCAGCACGTGCTGCTCCCCACGAATAGATTGGAGCCTTGTTTTCAAAAAAAAAAAAAAAAAAAAAAAAAAAAAGATCCAACGCCCATCGGTTTTCAACCAAGGATGTACAGATGAAGGTCAACTATGGCCAAAGGTGAGTCTCCCATATCCGTTCCTCTCTTCCTCCCCCTATCTCAACCTCTACACCCTTCTCCTAACCTTCTCCATAGCCTGGTATGAGGTGCTTCACCCTCTACCTCCATGGCCTAGGCCTACACCCCACTTTTACTATTACTCCATAGCCATGGAGGTCTTCTTCCTCACCCTCTAGCTCCACCGTTTATCATGAATTTTGCCTATATTTACCCTGTGGGTAGAGCAGCAGTATGGCTGCCAGGTAATGTGTCGCCTAACTCAATGTGCCCAATTCAGCCCTATGATATACTGTTGCAACTTGGACTTTGGCCTCCCTCAGGCTGTAGTACTGATCCCTCTCCGCTGTGCTAGGCCTACAGAAATTCCTGCCTTTTGGTGTGAACACCATTGCAGCTTGCAATCCTACTTCAGGGCATGCACTTGACCTACCTGCTGCCTGGGTACGGCCCTGATTGCTCATGACCTTTTTCAAAGCTACCACGTCCTTCTAAGACCTCTGTTGAGCCTACCCGATTTGCTGGAAAATCCCTACCAGGTACTAGTGATTCTAATTGTGTCCCTGTTCGTCCTGGCCTTTCTAGAAGTCCGTCCGGTGTCCAATTTCAGTCCTTTTTTTTTTTCTTTCTAAGCTATATTCTTCTCTCAATTATACATCACGCTACCTACCTACATGTCTAAGCACAAAAAAACATGTCTAAGAATGAGAGATGGTTAATGTGTGCATTTATTTTCAGGTTCCCTTATATCCCCAATGGTTGCAGATCGGTATGACAGTTTCAGACCAATCTTGAATGTTTGGATGGAGGGACCTGAAACAGGTTTCAGAAGCTTCAGACACTTCAGGTCACCGCTGTGGTTTCAAAAGGGTGTTGTAGGCTTGGACGGAGGCACCTGAAAACGGTTTCAGAAGCTTCAGACACTTCAGGCCATAGCTGTGGTTTCAGGTCTCCCCACCTGAAACTGCTAAAATAACCTGAAGTGGTTGAACCTTTTGAAAGCGGTTTTAGTTACCCCCATCCAAGCATCAGGCATAGGTGCAATTGAAACCGCTTTCAAAAGTTTCAGCCACTTCAAATCATTTCAAGTCGGGGCAATTGAAACCGATTTCAGAAGGTTTAGCCACTTTAGGTCATCGTCGCGGTTTCAGATGGGTGTTGGGTGCTTGGATGGGGCAACCTGAAAGTGGTTTTTGAAGCTTTTGCCACTTCAGGTCATTTCAATGGTTTCTGGTCTCCCCATCTGAAACTGCTGACATGACCTGATGGTTTAAGCTGCCCCCATCCAAGCATAAGAGATGGGTGCAGTTGAAACCGTTTTCATAAGTTTTAGCCTCTTCAAATCATTTCAGCGGTTACAGATCAATACTTGATGCTTGGGTGGGGGCGGATGAAACCGGTTTCAGAGGTCATTTCAACCGTTTCAGACCAATTTGCTTAGATGGAAATTAAAAAAAATCAAAACACGTGAAAAATTCTTAAGGAATAAAAAACTTATGAAAATAATGAAAACCCAAGTTTCAAAGGACCCTCACCTTCGAAAATCCCACATTTAGACATGAAAATCGTATGAAAAAAAAAAAAATTTAAGATCTAAAATGCACTTCATTTGTTTTAGATCTGAAAATTCAAGGACCTGTTGACCATTAGTGCTAAGTACTGAAAGAAGGGCCAACCGAAATCTATCAGGTATAGAGCCAACCGATATCTACCAGGTATAGAGGCAACCGGAATCTACTAGGTATAGAGGCAACTGAAATCTACTAGACCTAGGAACTCACCCCACGTGAGGAATGGCGGGGCCCTTTGAGAGAACCCAAGACCCTACCAAGGCCAACTAGGGGGGGCAAGCCAACTATCTCAAATGATGAACGCCAAGCATGCTGCAAGTGGCCATGAGAGATTGAACCCACGACCTCCTAAATGCCACTTGCCTGCAAAACCAACTGAGTTAGGCCGCTAGCCCGCCCGATTTCAATCCTATCCCTATGGTTCCCCTATTTCCAAACTACCCCTTTCCAGGGACAGAAAACACAGGGCAGAAACAATTTGTACTTCGCATAGCAATCCTCAGATAGGGACTTAGACACAAGCAAACAACGATCTCACTAAGAACACGGAAATCTCAGCAAAACAGACCAGCGAGCACCAATACTCAGAAAACCGCCTAAATCTGACAAATTTTATGAGGGTCATTGCATGTCTCTCTCTCTCTCTCTCTCTCTCTCTCTCTCTCTCTCTCTCTCTCTCTCTCTCTCTCTCTCTC